AGACTCATACATAATTCATTTAAAACCAGAAGAACATTTGGTCAACTTGGCAATTGTGATAATAAAGTTTACAACTTCTTAATTTATCAAGCTAAATTTTTACACCAACTTGATAAATGAGACTTATATTCCATTCTTTAACCAGAGAGGAGGTATGTAGAGCAGAGGTCCTGTGAAAGTAGAACTAACTTTTGATGATAAAAATTGAACGGAGATCTAATATATATAAAAAATGTTACATATTACATAACAAAGGATAAAACGTTTTTTGAATTAACTACATAAACATACAAAATCATATCCAACAAACATACCAGTTGCTCTGATCACAAATTAAAATAGTTAGCTATACATTTGATGCTAGACTTTTATTCCATTCTTTAACCTGAGCAAAGGCATTGCATAGATATAATAAACTTTTGAAAATAGGAACAGAATGGGCATCTACCTAATATATAAAATCATTGTAATAAAAAATTATTATTATTTTGAACAAACATTACAGGCATTAAAACAGAATAGAATTCTCTTATTTGTAAATTAAGGATCTTATATAATTTATCTTAGATGTAAAAAGTTTAATTTTTTTTTTAACTTTTCAAACATTTAAACTAAATTTGATGACCACAAACAAGACAAAGACCTTGTCTATAAAATGAATTTTCGCCACGCTCTGAACACACAACACACTTTCTCACCTTAGAGGCTTGAAGCTTCCTATCAGCTTTGCTGTGCAATTCAAAGCGTTTTAAAACAAGATGCAGCTTTTGCTCCTGATTTCTAACTGAATGCAACTGCCTTAATTCCTTATTTACGCTATTATGCAAACACTCTCCCTCCTCTTCACTCAGCAACCCAATAGTTTTATGCAATTTTACAAATAGTGGCACATTGAAAATGAGTTCATGCATTTTTCGCGTGAAACTCAAAAGCAAATAAATTTATATATTGATGAAGCTCAGAAATTTCAGCATCAGAAAGAAATTTTCGCTTAAAAAGAATAGGTTGCAAGTTATTAAAAACACTAAACACACGTACAAATCTATTTTTAATTGCTTCATCATCAATAACACTACAAAGTTTATAGTGGTTTCTTAATACTATTTTACAATGATTACCTACAAATACATTACCATGGTAAGCTTGTCGCTCAGCTTTCATATCTTCAAGGGCCTTATAAAGAGACCTCTCATGAGTCCCCATGCTACTTATAGATATTTTTTCTAGGTCTTCACACTCTATCTGCAATCGAATATACTCAACGTCTAAAACTACGCGCTGTGCGCGTATAAAAGAAATTTTTTCAGAAATATAAAGGTCAAGACATTCTAAATCTTCACCCTGACATGCTAAACACTCATACTTCTCTATATCACACAATACATTCTTTTCCGAACCACCAATAATTTCACAAAATTGATGGAACAATTTTTGGCACGTACCACACTGCACCCAATCAATATTACAATCATATTTAGTAATTAAACACCTGATACTAGCACACTTTTCTTGCTGTTTACAGGTTTTTTTTTTATTGGAGGAGTTTAGAGATATGCATTCCAATTCAGAAATATTTTTATCAAAAGCTAACCAACGAGTCTGTAGATTTGCAACGTCTACAAATTGATTTCCTAATAAACGTAAAGAGTCTGCTGTTTTAGAACATTCAAAGCTTTTAGCAGCCCACAATTCATTCGTTCTCACATTCTCATTATGCGACAAAGATGAAACAGCTTGATAAGCCAAAGTCTTACACTCCTTCAGCAATAACTTATAAAGTTTTAACACAACTCCTAACATAATATGCAAAACAGGTGGCACTACATTATCTAAAGTTATTATGGGGAAAATCACAGGAGCAATAATTGAATTATGAAACTTACCTAAAGCTCTTAGGTTTCCACCTTGTCTATCTTCACACAAGTTCTCATTGTAAGCACTTTCCAGAGATTGTATTGTCCTCCTTAAGATGTTACAATTAGCAGGTGTGTGAGGCATAGAAGCATGGTTTTTTAGAGAATTCAACTTAACTAGGTCTGTAGAACTAGGAAAGCTAGCAGCTGAACCCTGGTGTCCCAGAACATCGATAAAATGAAAATTTCCACCTAAGAACAACCTGACTATTTTGCCTTTTAGCTAAAAATCTGACGACTGAATTCTTTTAATGTCGTTGGCATAATGCCCGAGAACTAAGGCAATATTCTCACGACAGTCTGAACCCTGATACATACAAAATAAATGAACATCATATACAGACCCTGATGATTTAGAATTGACAACTTCAAAATGGAATTTCATATACTTCCCACCCTTATCCCCAGCAAAAAGGAGCCATACCTCTTCGCAAAAACGGACATCAGAATTGAAGTGGTCACGAACGTGCAGACTATTGAAAACCTCTTCAATATAAGTTATCAAATTCTTGACCATCAATACAGGTACTAAACAAGGTGCTTCATTCGCAGATGGATAAAGCAACATGGACTTTACAGTAACATGTTCTTTACTAACATGCATTGTCCGCATTTCTTGTTCTTGTCTTATCTTGGGCTCAGATGGGAGAATCCTTGCACCAAGATTACACAGAATACGTCTTAGCCTACGGAATTCAGCCGTGGGCATCCTTAATTGGCTCTGCAGCTCTACAGCATCAGAAACACTTAACTGCCTAACTAAACCCAACTTATTTGCAACACAATGAAACATAGACTTTTCACAAGACACAGAATCACAAAACAACATAGACAAATCACTTTCCAAATCTGAACAAGCTAATAATCGAAGGAATATAAAAGCAAGTTTAGATCGTCTAGCTGCAGCATGCCTACCTAACTTAGAATAAGATTTACCATCTCCTAACTTAATGTAAATATATTTCTTACCAACTATTGGCTTTTTAACTGATATAGTCTGTGGATTACTTAATTTAAACCCACAGAATAATTCAGAGGAACCAATGTTGTCATAGTCTAAATAAGAATCAACGACAACTAAATCCTTATCACTGCTAGCAAAATATTTGCAAATTTGGCAACTGTTCTTGTTTATATCACTGATTTTTGCATTTTTTTTTTCAAATTTAAATTTTTTTAGCAATCTTACATTTTTGGCACGAGCAGATGCAAATTTACGGTGTGCTGTTTTTAATTTTTTTTTTTTTGAAAGTTGGAACTGCTTCTCCTGTTTTAGCCTAATACTCATAGTCTCTAATTGAGAACTTAATGAGTTACAATGTGCGTTGAGAGCCTTGTTTTTAGAATTTAAATATATAACTTCAGTTTCCAACTTTGATACCTGTATTTTTAAATTATCTATTTGCTCCACATTATTTTTTTCTTTAGAAATTAATTGTTCAACTTGACTACTTAGTTCCTTATTCCTATTTAAAATATAAAAATTATCTGCATCTGCTGATTTTTTTTGTTTTTTTGTTTGTGGAGCTGGAGACAGTTGCATTTTAAAAAATGCTTTGTTTTTTGAAGCTTCAAAATACTTTTTAGAATCTTTTTTTCTTTGTTTTATTTTTCGGCACATTTTATTTAACACATCAATATTAGGCATATTAAACTCAATTGGCAAAAGAAAACTTAAAAAAGTAAACAACGCTTTTGGATGAAAAACTGTTAATAAAATTGAAATCACATTGTTAGTGATCTTACTAGTGTCAATTACTCGCTTTACAAAATTAAAGTTATACTCATTTTCCCAACCATCTTCCCAACCGATGTACAGTTTCAAAATTTCCCTCTCAGTTGCATACATCACATAAATAATGATAACGATATTATAATAATAATATAATAAAAGAAATTAAATAAAATAATATTTACAAATAAATACACTAAAAATAAAAGAATTAAGCAACTTATCTGTTATTAGTCGAATATCCACGAGGAAATAATCCACGAAACTTTGCTTTATAATCTTTATTGATATAGTAATAAAATTATAATACAAACAACTTAAATAGAATAATATTGACAAATAGATGCACTAGATAAAATTGGATTAATCAACTTATCTGAAATTAGTCAAATATCCAAGAGAAATTAATCCGCGAAACTTTGTTATTTATTCTATAAAAAGCGTCTCGTTTGTTTTGTTTGTTTTCTTAAAATGCATCCGATAATCGTTGGGGACGTAACAATCAGAGTTTGCGTCACCGCTTTAAAATGTAAACAAGAATTTATGCAAAAAAAACTAAAAAAAATGTCGCTAAACATGCCAAGTTTGAAAACATATTTGATAACATAGCTAGAGGTACAGAAAATAATTTTTTGATTTTCTTATTCATATAAGGTTGAAGTATTACTAAATCCACAGACTTTTCAAAAATGTTATGTTTTTTATTCAAAACGAATAAAAACAAAAATATAAATGCATTAAAAACTAACTTTCTATATAAAAACTTGCAAAGTCTGTGGAAATCTAGATAGAACAGACATTCATTAATAACTGTTCTAAATTTCAACCATCGACCATGTAGCTATGTTATCAAATCTTAGTTGGCCAAAGACAGGTTTTGCGTAAAAATCGCAAAAATCAGAAAAGTGATGCCAAATTATTAACAATATTTTTACAGCTTTCATTTTTATTCCGTTTAATGTAAATGTTTATTTAACAAGGAAAGATAGATCTTTTATATTTTTTTTATTTGAAGATGAAAGCATTTATAGAAAAAAAAATACTATTATTTTAAAGTTAATGAATTTTTATACTTTTTATGCGGAAATACTTTTTTTTTTGATAAACTCGTGACGTCAGGCTCGCTTTTATATTGAGTGAAACAGCCGTGATATATATATATATATATATATATATATATATATATATATATATATATATATATATATATATATATATATATATATATTACCTGGATATATAAATATATATTACCTGGATATATATATATATATATATATATATATATATATATATATATATATATATATATATATACATATATTTATATATCTGTGTGTATAATTTTTTTCCAGAACTAAAAAAAAAAGAAGAAGAAGATGCACTTCAAAGAGCTGCTGATCAAGCACGTTATGAAGCAGAATTAAGTCGAAAGAAAGAACTTGAAGAGTTAGAAGCTCGAAAACTAGAAGAAAAAATTATAAATAACAAAGAAACAAAAGTGTCAGATAATGTTTTGAAAAATGAAGATAATTCTCAGACGACTACAGTGCATTTTTTATTTTTTAAATGTTTATTTAGATTTTTTTTTTAATTTAAAAAGTTTTTTTTAATCAGATTTACTTTACATAGCTTTACATCATTTTAAATTTAGGATATAAAACTTAAAACAGATAAGGACGAAATTGAAAAGTTAGAAAAGATTAAACTTGAAGTAGATGCACAAAATAAATTCCTTGAAGCAAAAAAAAAAGAAGAGGAATTAAAAAAACGTGAAGCAGAACTTCTTGAGCAAGAAAATCAACGCAAAGAAGAGCTTTACCAGCAAGCAAAGAAACTTCAAGAACAAAAGCGAAAACAAGAAGAAGAAGAGAACAAGCGGCTTGAGGAAGAATGGAAAGAGCGAGAAGCTAAAGCTAAGATGGAAGATGAAAAACGTCGAAATTCATTTACTCAGAGCAAAGTAGAATACAAGCGAATACAGAAATTAGCCAAAGAAAGAGAGGAGTTAAGTAAATTGCAAAAGCAAATTCCTGTTCATGAAGAAGAGCATCATAAAGAAAAAACTCGTACTGTTGCTTTAGTTAGTGTAATTTCTGATCAAGAACAAATCTCAACTTCCTTAAACCATACCGAGTAAGTTATTTTGTAAATTTGATTTTGCTCTTTTGTTTTTTTTAATTTAAAATTAATTAGTTTTTTTAACATAAATTAAAAATTTTTCACTTACAACTATAATATATTTAAATTGTTCCAAATGTTAAGTTGTGTTCATATCTTATGTAAACTTTTAAAAATAATCAAACCATTTTGCCATAACAAAATAAAAGTGACATAATAAGCATGAATGCTTTATAAATTTAAATGCAGCACAAGTGTTTTATTATAACCAATAAAGATGAATTAATAATGGGACAACCCAAAACTTGCACATAAATTAAATTGTTTAAAAAGACTCTCTATTAAATGCACACATTATTTAGACCAGGTATATATATATATATATATATATATATATATATATATATATATATATATATATATATATATATATATATATATATATATATATATATATATATATGTTTATATTTTTTGCCTATAGCAGTTTTTTTAAACTTGTAGCTTTTGACTGTCTGATTTGTTAGTGTTTTTTTGAATTTTTTGTGAATTTGTTATGGTCTCAAAATTACGTTGAATCTGACCATAGAAAAAACTTCACTTTTGGATAATTTTTTTCCTGATCTTTTCATTATTTTTATACAACCACTTTGATATTATACATAAAATTTTGTTTGTGATATTACACATAAAATTTAAAATTTATCTGGTCTTATTACAGTATTTATTATATGCTAACTGTCTAGACTTTTAAAACGACTCATTGTTAGTCTTTTCACAATTGAAATATATAAACTTATTCCTGATATAATCTATTTGTTCATATATTTTCTAGTAAATGATAGAAATTAATTGGTTTATTATTATTATTATTTTATTAGTTGCATCAATCAACATTTATTCTTTAAACATCTTATTGTAAACTTCCAATAATAAGAGAGAGAAGGGGTGATTAGGCATTTATTAGTTTTATGGCATTATCCAACGCGAAGCTTATTAGAACCTTCACACTGTTAATGTTGAAAAAAAGTTCAAAACTAAAATAATCTTACTAAAAAACAATTTACTAAAAGAAAATTTCCAGTGTTGAATGCGCTGACTGACATAAAAACATTTAGAACCTAAGAATCTTTCACATAGATGGCGAATGCTTTACAAATTTCATATTAGTTTTAGAAATTTTATGTTGTTTTTAGAAATTTCAGTTTTTGAAAAATTCTGACCCTTCCTGTTTATTGATACTCCCCCACTGTTTATTGGGCAGGTGGGAAGATAAAATTTAATTAGAAGTAATTGAGATTTTAAAACAAGAGGAGCTATTGTTAAAATAATATTAAAATGCAAAATAAGTGTAACAAAAATAAGTGTATTATATAATTCTTATTATATATACTTATAACATTGATTAATATAATTAAATAATATAATGAAATATTTTTTAACATATATTAACAATTTTTTTTTTTTAATTATCAATTAATTATTTTTTAAAAGTAAAAATCACTGATTTTGTTCATCATTATTGTGTTGTGATACTCCAGTTGCTGTTGTTAATGCAGCAGTTAAAATCACAACTTCTGTTATTAAAACCAGTTTTAAAAAAAAAAGAGTGTGTGTGCGTATTTGGTTAAATCGTATTTAATGTACATAAAGTAATAAATTAAAAAAATTAACATATTGCGTATTAAAAGGCTCTTTTATTTTGAAAATAATTTTGAACAAAAGAGTTTGCATAACTTCTAGCAATATGTAAGTCTTGTAAGTCGTGTAAGTCTTTTTTCAAAAGAATTTTCTTTCTAAAAATTTTAAATAAGTTGCGTTTATGCTTTTTATTTTTTTTTTTGAAAAAAAAAAAAAATATATATATATATTTTTTATATATTCTTGAGGAGTGTATGTAAATGGTGCCAACACTAAAAATATAACCAAAGCACATGGTCTTCACTAATTGAATAACTAACTAGACAAAACTGTGATTTAGATATAATATTTACAAACACTCCAAAAACAGTATACAAATGCATAAACCTTCCACCGCTTGAAAGTCAGATCACAATATATATTATCTAGCATTGATTACTCAACTTTATTTGAATTTTCATATGCACAATTTTCATCTTTTATTATTATTCAGATAATTTTTTTATGTCCTTCATTTAATGTTTACATTTATGCCGGTGACTTTATTAAGGTCTTTGTGCAATGATTTTTTTCGCAATCACACATTGTTTTATCATTGTTATGATTTTGGGTTTCGCTGGTTTCTCATTTTCCTACATTTTTGATTGGTTATCATATTTTGAATGAGGTATCTATGACAGCGTTAGATTTTTTTTAAGGCCATTGTTGTTTTGTTGATTAAAAACTTTTTTTTTTTAATGAGGTATTTTGTTTTCTGATTATCTTTGGCTTATTTATGCTAATAATACCTATTTGGTTTTTATATCTTAAAATGAATTTATTGATATATTTATGTTTCTATTAGAATTTTAATTTATTGTGCTTTCATGTTTTTTTTCGGTGGTATGGTAAGTGATTTGTTTAGTTATTTATTATTTTTTTTTTTTTTATTTATATTTTACAGTTTATCTACACTTTTCACATCATATCATTAAAAAAACATTAGTGTTTTACAAATTTGGGGTTGGTTGGGTTTTGGCTATTTGTAGTGAGTCCTTTTTTACTGCAGTATGGATAAGGCGTAAGTCGCGAGGTAAAGCAAAAGTGGCAATGACGTTTGTCTGACGGGATAAACTAGTTATAAGTGCTAATCGTCATCAAAATGCCGGTAATAATAGACGCAACTCTGAGGAGATGTTTATTACTTTATTACTACATTAATTATGTTTACACATTAGCATTAATGTTTTTTTTCCATTCTGAGGCCTTACATCGTTATATGCATATTTTTTGTTTTTGTTTATTAATTTTTTGGTTTTTTAAATTTTTTATTTTGGTTATATATTTGTTGTATATCTTTGTTCGTATTAGTTTTTTTTTTTTTGAAACAATTTTTTGTTATTATTATTGTGAGTATTGCTTGGATGTGTTGTCTGTCTTATTTGTTTTGAAATTTTCCTCTATTAATCTTCATTTTTGTCTTGAAAACTGTCAAAATATTCTTGTAATGAATTACAAATCCGGTAACATTGCAGACACTGCAGAAGCTCTGAGACAAAAAAATTGGAAACAAATTATCCCAAGTCGTTTATTAAACTTTTCCCAAGAGGCAATGGACAGGTAGCATTTGACTTATTCTACTAAGACATAACCACTATAATATGTGTGTATGTATATGTATGTATATATGATTGTATGTATGTATATATGTATGTATGTATGTATGTATGTATGTATGTATGTATGTATGTATGTATGTATGTATGTATGTATGTAAAAATCCTGTAATTTCTAAATTTTTAGACCAAATTGCGCTTTTAAGTTCACGATTAAGCAAAAACTAACCAAAAGAAATAGAAAACAAAATATCATATGGTTTAACCCTCCCTTTAATAAAAACATCTCTACAAATGTTGCAAAAAGTTTCTTATAATTGCTTGATAAAATCTTTCTGAAACGCATAAACTATTCAAAATACTTAATTGAAACACAGTGAAAGTCAGCTACAGCTGCACTGAAAACATTGAAAAAAATCATAAGAAACCATAATTGCAAAATTCTTTCCCCAAGAGTTGAAGGTAATCAACAAGAATGAAACAGAAAAAAGCTAGATTGCTCAATGAATGGAAAATGTAGATTTACAAATGTGATATACAAATGCATTGTCACCTCTAAAAAACCAGCCTAAAAAAGTTTATATCGGATTAACAGAAGGTGAGTGAAAAACAAGATATTACAACCGTCCTAGGTTGTAATATCTTGATAAGATAAGTCATCCTTTAAGAACAAAATATATCAAAAGGCAACAGCCCTATCTAGCTATGTTATGCAAAAGCAAGTTTAAAATCCGTTCCTTATTCAGATATTTCAAAAAAGTGTCACCTTTGCTTAAATGAAAAACTTGCAATTATTTCTTATCCGAAACCTGATATAATAATAAATACTTAATAAATGATCTGAAGTTGTATCAAAGTGCCGTCATGAAATCAAATATTAAATTAAAAAATATTTATAAATTATGCATTCAACTTAAATTCAAACTTTGAATCATCAGTCTAAAAGACTTTCCACTGATCCAATGTCCACAATTTTTGATCTCTTACCCATTTAAACTGTTTTTGTTCATTTACACGCTGTAACAAAGGTTTTTGACACTCTATTATACATATATTATATGTTATTATACATATATATATATATATATACGGCCATTTAGATGACTCTATGTAGTCGTCGTTTAGATGACTCTATGTTGACCGTATCAACTGATATTGGAGTTTTTATTTATTTGATTCTTCTTTAATTGCAATGGCTGGAAATAGTCTATTATGTTTGCTCATAACTATTATATAGTTGTCTTTATATATTGTCATCTTTGTTGTGCATCTCAGTCATCCTGTGCGTTTTTAGCCTAGTTTGTCTAGTTAGTGTTGTTCTTAATTGTCTTAACGTGTTGTTAGTGTAGATACAAAATTAGAAATTATATTCGGTAATTACATATCAAAAATCCATCTACAATATATATTCATTAATAAAACTTGTATTTTAAATAGATATTATTATAATATCTAAATAATGCAGTTTACTCAAAAACTTACTTGAGAAAACATTAAATCCTAAACACGAAATATACTATAAACTCCATACGAAAAAACTCACTGGATCGAAATCAACACTTTTATTATACTAAATTGAGCGAACTTTTGCTTTTATAGATATGTAGAACCTTCCAGAACAGACTCAGAAAGTTCTACAAACTGAATATTACTGTGCGCTAAGTTGTGGATTATGTTTGGTTATTACACAAAAAAAGCCATCTACAATATATATATATTTAGTAATAAAACTTATATTTTATAATAGATATTATTATAAAATAAAAGATATTATTTTTGTCTTCATATTAGTATAATAGTATTTCTAAACTTTCATTATAAAAAAGGTATATATGCAAACAATTTTTGGAAAACATGCATTAAATGTCAATTTCATTATTTTTTTTTTTAAATTGCAGTGTAACAAAACCTTTGTTTTTTATTTACAATTTAATTATAAGAATAAATGGCAAATAACTACCATAGTACTCTAATTTATTATTATTAAAGTTAATTAGTTATATAAAAATAAAAATAATTAAATAAAAATATTGTAAAATATAAGTTAAAAAGTAGAATGTTTAATGTTTTTAGTATAATAATTTATTACCATAATTTTGATGATCTCATGTTTTGTTTTTAATAACATTTTACACTGAGATTTACTAGGTCTGGTTTGTGTAAAAATTTTTTGATAGTAAATGCTAATTTTATTCATTTTTTATTTTAAAAACAAAATATAAGATTTTAAAGTATATTTTTATTAACCTATCTTTATCTTAATTTCACTTTTTGTTTTTAAAAAAAAATGAAAACTTGAGATAACATTTTCTAAAATCTAATTCATAAAACTGTTAAATTACAGTTTTTATGTCTAATACTAATACAAAATATTTCTTTAATAAAATGTTTTCATTTCTTTAATAGTCGAAAATCTTTGAAAAAAGATGATCGGTCAATGCGCCCACCTCTTCCGCCACGCCCAACAATATCTGGTCCAGTAAATGTCAGTACTGTCACAAGAAGTCAAAATGATACTGTTGCTATTAAACGTGATGTGGTTAAACCCACGAATCGACCTCCTCCAGCACCTGAACAGCCTGATGTTGTAAAAAATCAAATTCGACCTGCTAGGCCTAAAAACCGAGAAGAGGTTTCAAAATGGTGGAAGGAAATTGAATATTCTCGACAAGCTGGGCTTGATAAAGAGTTTAATCCGTTATTATGGTTTCATGGTTTGTTTTTGTTTGTTTCTATATGAGTTTTTTATGTTGTGACTTTTATAAAAGTATATATATTTTTTAATAGGTATTATTTCCCGCCATGAAGCAGAGAAAATTTTAGAAAAGAAAGACAAAGGTTCCTTTTTAGTAAGAGTTAGCGAACGCGTATGGGGTTATACAGTATCATTTAAAGATATTGCTCGATGTAAACATTTTCTTATTGATACCTCTGCTAATGGTTATCAATTTTTTGGTACAGAACAGATTGTTCATAATTCTTTAAATGAATTAATTGATTATCATAAAATAAATCCTATATCTGGATTAGGTCAGGAGATATTAATTTATCCATGCGGTCAAGAAACTAACCCACCAGATTATGCTGATTTATTTGTTGAAAATACTTTGGTTTAATATGATATACATACACTGTTTTGCATTGCATACAGATAACAACAAATTATATTTATATTATCATAATGTTACTTGTAAACCTAATTTACCTTGTTAAATAAATTTGTAGAAAATTTGTAGATAAAAAGATTAGGAATTATTGTCTGTATTTTGCACACAGTTGTAAATAGTATGATTTGTGTTTTCATTATAATGAGTATTTTTTATTTTTATAGAGAATATGTTTATTTATATGTATGATAATTTTATATTCTTTTTTTGATTGAGGAAATTTTTTTGTTTTTAAAACTCTTTATTCATATTTCAAAATTCTTTATTCAATAATTAAAATAAAAATTAAAGTTAAAATACTGCTTAAAATTTGTCTTAATGTTTGTGTCCTAAGCTTTAAAACATTTATTTTTGTAAATTTTAAGCTCTGCCATTTTAAATTTATATTTAAAAATTGTTGATGTATCATTTTTTAAAACTTTTGCGGACTATATTGCTATTTATGTGAAATCTGGTAATATACTTAGCTTAATCTTAATTCTGTTGTATGCCATTTTTAATTTTTGACAATTGATTTGATGACTTTAAACATTTATGCAAATATTATTGATTTGTCAATTTTTATCATTTATGTGAAATCTATTGATTTTTATTATTTATGTGAAATTTTTTCTCTAATATTTTTTAGGTGTTTAACGAGTAGTAGATTTAGTTTTAGTTGAACAATTATACATAGTTTTTATGTTGTCATTTAATATTTTGCATTTGTTGATGTATGCGGTGGTTTCTTTTTTTTAGATAAAGTATTTTTATACACATAAAGTTATTTTTTTTATATTGGACTTATAATGTCTACAACTCTCCAATATGTGGCTTTCTCAAGTGCTGTTAATGTTAGTTTTTGGCACGAGCTTAGTAAGCACAAACTTGAGGAATATAAACTTGATGATACAGCTAAAGATATTATTGGATCTTTTGTGAATAGTAAGAAATTTTTAAACTTTTAATAATTTATTAAAAAATTGTAGAAATTAATATACAAAATTGTAAATACTACAAAAATAATATAAAAATAGAAAATTTAAAATGTATTTATGTATGTATGTACGAGTTTTCGTTGTAAAACAATGCTTATAAATATATATTTCAGCTTTGATATATATACATATACATATATATATATATATAACCATATATATATATATATATATATATATATATATATATATATATATATATATATATATATATATATATATATATATATATATATATATATATATATATATATATATATATATATATATATATATATATATAAACCACTAACTAAACATCATCAGGGGTATTGTAAAACAGTTCCGCTTCCTCTTCATAAAGTATTTTTAACCTTTTTAGTTGATTTCTATCTAGTTAATTTAATTTCTACAGTGACTAAATGATTTAATTATTTTATTTGTTCATCTTACTAAGAAGAATTGTTTCAAGTATGTTAAACTTTTCAAGCTACGCAAAGCATAAAGTAGTTATTAAAAAAATTAACTTATTTTATTTATAAAATAATTTAGCTTAAATAAAACTAAAACCGGGGGCTATTTTTATTTTGCAGGGTTTTTTTTTGTGCCACAGTGTAAAAATAACGAAAAAAAAGATCTCCTTGATTATTTCGGGGCCCCTAACATTGCGAGGGTCAGGGCTATAGCATCCTCTAACCCCAACCCTCCTTAATCCAGCACTGGAAATAAGACACAAGTATATGAATAAAAATTATATTATACAGGCTTGGCCAGGAAGGCGTGCGATTTCACGTCATAATATGACCACGCAAGTACTATTTGATTTTACTTAACTTGACCACGGCTGTTAATATGTTTTGAAAAATTATTTTAACTATAAAAAAACTTAAAAAAAAACTTATCGTAAAAGAAGCAAAATAAATTTTGGTAAAAAAACAAAAAAAAAACTTAACTAAAATAGCAGAAATAAAATTAAAACTTAACTAAATTAAATAATAAACTATAACGATAAGATTATCTAAACTAGGTTTGGAATAAATAACTTTAAACCATTTATCTTTACTAATGGTTTTTTAATATAATTATGCGAATTATGCGAAGCGCTTTTTAAATAAAGTAACTAACAACTCGTCACATTAGAATTATAGGGTTCTATCTGCCTTTTTTTTATGTTGTGAGAACTTGACTTTCAATATTTATTTAATACATGTTTTACAGCTGTTATTCCTTATAATTATAAATTACAAGTTGTTTATGTTATCTGTTAAAAATGTTAAAAAATGATATATAATATATCATTTTTTAAGTGGTTTGTTTATATTATTAATTATTAATTAAAACTTTGGTTGTTAAATTCTTTCAACATAAAACAAGGCAGATAGAACCCTATAATTCTCATGCGACGAACTGAGGATTGTTTAATAAACGTACACATTTAAAAGTTTAAAAAAAGATTCTTAATTCTTCGCACTAAAGAAAAAATAATTAAGTCGTTTATTTAAAATTTTGATTTAATTTTTTTTTATTTAAAAACATTTATAATAAAAAATAAATGCTTTTAAAAAAATATATATGTTTTTATAAAAAATCATTACCAGTGACTTGTTACTTTATTTAAATTCAATAAAATAAAAACGTAAGTAAAGATCAAAGTTAGTTAATTCAAATGGCTTTCAAAAAAGTTTTTTTTTCTTCTCAAAAAAAACTTCAATGAGTCTTGTATGAAGTTTATTAGAGACCTTCGCTTATTAAAGTCTAAAATTTAAAAAAAAAAATTTTTTAATAACTTTTACTTTTTTTATTTTTATTTATAAAAAAATTGTATATAATTAAATAATATAAATAAAGAAATATACAACTTTCAATGATAATTAAAATCTTTTTTTTAAAGCGCTTTGCTAATATAAAAACGTTAGTAAACATAAATGCGTCAATTTATTTTCAACGTAATTAAAAAACCATTTTTTTAGCGTTTGTTGAAAGCCTTGGTTAAATCATCATAGCAAAATATTATTTGCGTGGTCATATAAAGACTTGAAATCGCACGCCTTCCTGGCCAAGCCTGATTATACTCTTTGATAAAAGAACATTTGTTTCCTTATTAAGCAGTCGTAAGATGTTACTATATATAAATAATGTTGCTTAGTTATATTAAAAAAATTTAAAAAGAGTGATATTTCAAAAATATTTGTTCTAAACGTAATTTATTTTGCTTTAAGTGTTTTTGCGTTAAAAGTTATTTTCTTTTCCTAGTTAATTTTTATTTTGTAATTGTCTCTCATCAGTCCTATTAATTTTTTTTGCGCTTTTTTTGTTTGTTTTTTGAAATGTTCTCAAAACGACTAAAAAATCTGGTCAGTTTTTTGCAACTAAATATAACTTCTGTAGTCAGTAATCAAGAGCAATCGCTTCCACTTCCCAACCAAGCCTGATATAAACTCAGAGACTTTTAAAAAATTTTCAATAGTGTCATTAACTAGAGTATGTCTAACATTCCATCTCTAATTCATGGGCCTTATTTTATCAGTTTTCCCCAAAATAAGGCAGATATATTTGCAAAGAACTTTTTCTCTAATTTGACTATTGATTCTAATGGCCATATTCTTCCTGCAATTCCAGTTAAACAAATTAACCCATTGTTAGGCATCCAAATCAGGTTTGCAATGCTTAAGTCTACTCTCAATTAAACTTTTCTACGGCTTATGGTTCATACAACATTTCCATCAGTTTTACAAAAGTTTTCTCCAGAACTCCCTTCATTTCTTGATAAACTAGTAGTAAGTGCAAAATAAGTAGTTTCAATTTTTAAAAACTCTAGAAGACACACCGACCTCTCTAACTATCCTACACTAGTCTTCTATTTTTTATTAGTCATATTGGTTTTGAGATTACTAAATCATTTTTTTCTAACTACAGTATTTAAGACATTCTCAAAAGCCTCCACTTGTCTCCATTTCCAGTAACTTAAAGGGTTATTGGAATTGAAGAAAAACAACTTCAAGTGTTACTGGAAATAGGAAGGTTACAACCACAATGTTTGCTCCTAGAATATCAATCTTTCTGACAATCTTACATCTTAAGTGGCTCTATTTGCTGATAACTTAACTTTATACTCTTGTCTAGACAAAAATGATTCAATTTTAGATCACTTAAAACATTCTTTCTTTAATCTGATCATTTTTTTGTAACAGCTTGGGGTTTGCTATGGCTTGTGGATTTAGCTCCAACAAAACTCACCAATCTTCTTGTTTTCCTCATTCATACAACATACAACTTCACTTAATCATTTCCATGTTTTTCAACCCAATATAGTGGTTGATTGCAACATTGTTAGAAGTGGTTTAGTTTAAATATATCTACATATGTGTTTCTTTGTGTGTGTTTGTATATATATAAATTATGTTAGTGTATTCTACAAATAGAGTGCTCAATGTTCTTAAAGAACAGAGCAATAATATATATTTATATGTGTGTGTGTGTGTGTGTGTGTCTGTGTGTGTGTGTATGTGTGTGTGTACAGGCCTTGTTTTAAAGTGTTGCATGTAGAGCGATTTACGTATGTCTTAAGTGATTTTTTTGAATGCATTAAGCAATTTTGGTTAAGCTACTTTTTATCATTTTTTAACTTTTAAATTATTATAAAATAAAACAAGTAATTAATTTAAAAAAAAAAACATTAATTTTTGATTAACGATATGTAAAATTTTTTTTATAAAAGTTTGAAAGAAGTTATGTTAAAAATAATGTAACTTTTTATCACGATGATATTTCTTATCTTTTTATAGCAATTATATTCAACATAATTTTACACTAAACTTTTAATCTAAATAATTAGCAACATGAAAAAAGTTTGTCAATTTTTAACTACAAATTATTTGCAGATGTATTATAAAAACTCAGTCAAAAACTCTATAAAAATCTGTATTACAAAAAACATTTATATTCTGTAATCTCTGATTACAAAAATATTAAGACATTTTTTCAAGATATTAAAAAAATGTGCCAATATATGATCAATTTATTTTTATTGTACTAAAAATTACTTTTTTATTAGTTATTACTCTTTGTTTTTCTTTTTAGTTAAAGGTATATGGATACCTTTAACTTTAGGATATACAGGGGGAGGAAAGTTGGCACAGAAGGAAAAAAAATAACTGTTACTCGCATATATATATACAATACTTTCTATTGAAGACAATTTGTTAAATTTCTCCTGCGCGCAATTCAATAAATTTTTTTTTTTTCATAAATCAAGTTATATTATAAAGTTAAAGAAATCACGAGTAGACTATAACATCCACTCATGACACTTATTTAGGTTAAATATTTTTATATAATAGAGGTTTCATTATATACGCGCATGTTACAGACTCCGCTAAATTAATACTAAGGCGCGTTTTAGTTTAATGACAGCCTTTATTCTTTACTAATGACTATGAATTTGTCTATATAAGATAAAACAAACTAGTATATAAAAACCTAATATATTTCTATTCTCTCCAAGTTGTTTAAAGTTCAAACATGGATTGTATTTTGAAAGACAAAAGAGTTACTTTGAAAACCTTTAAATCCTGGGACTTTGATGATGCTTTTCGAATTGAAACTATCACACAAAAAGAGAAGACTTATGTTATTAAAATTATATGTAATTTGTGTGATTTTCATCAAAATAAATTTTTATCCAAAGCCAATATTGCTGTAAGCGCAGCTGCCCTACGGTTTATAAATGACACAAGTCATGTTAAAATATTTTAAAATGTTAGTATATTTTATTTAAGTTGGTATATAAATAAAAATAAATATTAATTAATAAATAAATTAAATTTTTTTCTTAACATAGATTACCTTATATTTATTCTCTTTTTTTTAATTTTATTACTCTAAATTAAATTGCTTGCAAACAGAAAAAAAAAGAGTTTTGTAATTATACGTAGAATAAAAATACTCTTGAGTTTGTTTATAATTTAA